AAGAGGGAAAGCTTCCTAACTCATTTTATAATATCATCATCACCCTGATCTCCAAATTAGACAGATACTACAAAAATTAAGAAAACTACATTCTCGTATCCCCCAAAATATTACCAGTTTATTAGCAAATAGAATCCAGCAATATTTAAAAAGGCCATCATGGCCCAAGTTGAGTTTAGCCCTGAAATTTGAGGTTGGTTTATCACTTAAAACTGAAAATCAATTGAATCAGTATTAGCACATTAACAAACTAAAAACAAACAAAATAAAACAAAGAGTGACATTTTCTCCCCCAACATTTCTGGTATAAGTTTTTACTATCATTTATAGGATCACATTCTATAAGAACAAAATTTTGTCATTTATATTCAGCAAGAAATTCTTTATTTTAGACCACTGTTATTTCTTTTACTTTTTTTGATGAAATGGGATGTCTTAGGAGAAAACTAACGGATTTCAGCATGATATAAAATGTTTAATGGTGTCTGAGTGTAAAAATAAAAAATGCATAATAAATGCATTAAATACAACTCACAAAATCCAGTTGAACCCAATTATTTTTATTAATAAAATAGATATAATTCTAAAATTAATAGAACTTACATATAAATGACAACAACAGCAGCTAAAGTCAAAAAAGGAGATATACTGGCCCTCAACGTCATCATCATGTAGCATTTTNAATAAAATAGATATAATTCTAAAATTAATAGAACTTACATATAAATGACAACAACAGCAGCTAAAGTCAAAAAAGGAGATATACTGGCCCTCAACGTCATCATCATGTCCCTTTTTTAAATATGTAATCTGATTTCTTTTCTATTATTTTTGTTTGTCTGAAATAATAACCTAAGTAGTATAACTGATTTTTGAACACTTACTAAATTAGCAACAGTTCTCTAATTTTTCATTAACAGATGTTTTAAAAAATTTCTCTGACATGAGTGAAATGAGATAATTATTTAATAAGGCATTCATTAAGTAACTAAAATGTAAACAAAGCTTTGGGTAGTCATGTCAAATAGAATAATACAGCCTAAGAAAATAGCAACCTGTTTTACCACTCGGATTTGAAAGACAAATTGCCCCCAGAACTGGAGTGAACTATGGTCCTATGGCAAGAATTTGCCTACGTGTAAGCTGGAACTTCTAGAAGTGAAGTTTTCTGGTATCTTTCATTCTTTCCCTCTAATGTCATGGGTAATGTCAGGGAAGAAGAATGAATTTCACAAAGGCATTTGAGGCACATTCCCTTCAGGCCCTTGAATTACCTAGAATGTGATTTTCAAATAAAGCATAAAAATACTGACAAGGTGATTCAAAGTTTCTAGTAATTAAAAGAAGTCCTATTAAAAAAAACTCCACAGTTATAGTACTTTTTTCGCACACATTTTATTGATGTTACCTTTTTAGGTGTGAATCCATGAGTGGAGTGTTGGGTTATTTTGTTATTATTATTATTATTATTATTATTATTATTATTATTGTTTGGGAAACTACCCTTTTGAGGTGAGAACCCACGCCATCTAGACTCTCCCTTGTCAGCTGTTTGAATCCAAAGTGGAGATACAGCAGGTAGGAAAGGAAGCATAGTGAGTCATTTCAGACACAGATGTCTCTGAGTTCCCTCTAAAATATATGACTGGTATCTGTTTCCAGAAGCATATATCTCCCTTCATAAATATTTTCCAGATGTGTTCCTCTGGGTCATAATCTAAAAATATGCCCGTTTCCAACAAGTGTGCCTGGGGTAACATCTTAACTAAAAATGATATACTACCACCAGTGACTAAAAGCCTGAAACGTAAAACAGGCTACAGACATGGTCTGCAACTATGAAAAGTCCCCCACAAACTAGATATTGCGGCCCCCCTGCAGCAGAAAGCAACTCCTTACTCCGTCCTGCAGCCTGAGTCTTATTCCAGCCTCTTGCCCCGTCTAACAAACCTGCTGTTCATTCGGCAACTTTGTCCTGCGTTTCTCAACCAGCTTCCCCAGAACTTTGGCACACCTTTGTATCTTGGTGTCACCTTTGTATTTTGGGGTCACCTTTGGATTTGGGTATTACCTTTGTATTTTGGTGTCACCTTTGGATTTGGTATCACCTTTGTATTTTGGGGTCACCTTTGGATTTTGGTGTCACCTTTGGTTTTGGTATCACCTTTGTATTTTGGGGTCACCTTTGTATTTTGGTGTCACCTTTGGTTTTGGTATCACCTTTGTATCTTGGGGTTACCTTTGGATTTTGGGGTCACCTTTGGTTTTGGTGTCACCTTTGTATTTTGGGGTCACCTTTGTATTTTGGTGTCACCTTTGGTTTTGGTATCACCTTTGTATTTTGGGGTCACCTTTGTATTTTGGGGTCACCTTTGATTTTGGGGTCACCTTTGATTTCGGTTTGACTTTTTCATAGGCCCTCCTTGGGGTTGCCCCTCCCTTTGCTTCACTCTTGCTAAGAGCCGTTGTTGTTCAGTAAACTGGAGGCCTAGTCTAACGAGCTCTCAGGAAGCAGCGGAACCACTCCTCCATTCCATGTAGCTGGACAACTGACTTTCACCCCCCCCGCACCCCCTCGCCTGGGAAAGCCTGGAGGCTGGTTCTCTGGAGAGGCCGTTTCTGGCCTGGGGGACGCCCAGGCACCGCTGAGAGGAAGGGGTAACCTGCTAAATACATGCCGATTAGAAGACGCAAGCAGACTGGGTACTGAAGCTCCTACGGTGCTGAAGGCCAGGCCTTTTTGCTCATAAGGCAGAAAGGTGAAATGGTGTCCTTCAGGAAACCTTCCTGGACCAGAGGGAGGTCTTAAAAAGGCCACCATCAACAATTAAATGGCCCAGGCCCAGCGCCTGACAGGTTAAGAGCTCCGCCATGGACTCCGAGCTCCTGACCGCCCTTCCTTCCTCTTCAGCACCCACAGACGCGCGTTAGCAGGAACCTGAGAAGAGAGTGCGAAAGGCCAGACAGACCAGAAAAGAGTAGGAAGAAAGGAAAAGAGAAAAGCAGAAGGAAGCCACTGAGAGGAGACATATATTAAATAGGAAGAAGAAAAAAGCTATCAATAATATCTTCAGCTGTGAACAGCTTTAAGGTGGTTTTAAAAATGTACAAAATTGACTATCAAGCCAAAATTATGGCACAGCTATATTGAGGAAAGGGGGGTGGTGCAGTAAGTGTGTGTGTAGGGAGCCGAGGAAGGAAAGTGATTTAATTTCTCATCCCTTCCAGTGGGAAGTCAATAGAAAATGCCTGAAATTTAAAAATATCAAAATGTAGCAACATATTACATTATTTGGGAGGCGAACACCTAAATAAAGAGCTACAATTGATGACAGCAGCTGTCCCTAAGGAAATAAAGGAAGGGTGAATAGGGGACCGGTGTTGTTTTTCATAACAAACTTTATGCAAACTTTTATCACTTTACGTACATGTATTTAAAAAATTAAATACAGGGCCCTGGCCAAGTAGTCAGTTGGTTAGAGCTTCATCCCTGATATGTCAAGGTCCTTGTTCAATCCCTGTTAGGGCGCATACAAGAATCAACCAATGTATGCATGAATAAGTGGAACAATGAAACAGTCTCTCTCAAATCAATAAATTAAAATTAATTTTAAAAAAGAAAAGAGGGGCATGAATATCATTAAATATTGATGGGAAGAACCTAATGAAAACAGAGAAATTGAAGTACAGAAGTCTAATAATTTATGATGGGAAGTCCATGAGACATTGGAGGAAATGTGATCAGGAGCACGAGTAGACAGGTGCACTTAAATAAGAAAGAGAGGTGGAGGCATTGATGATTACAATGAAGTTGATGTTATGGGCTTGGTTGAGAGAGTTCCTACGGTAAGAATTTATTTGCACTGTGAAGTAAGAGGCAGGGTTATCTGCTGAGAGTAAGAAGGGGTAGCCTGGCAGGGCATGGCTCAGCAGTGGAGCATTGACCTATGATCCAAGAGACTGAGGTTCAACCCCCTGTCAGGGCACATGCCCGGGTTGCGGGCTCGATCCCCAGTCGGGGGCCTGCAGGAGGCAGCCGATCAATGACTCTCTCATCATTGATGTTTCTATCTCTCTTTCTCCCTCTCCCTTCCTCTCTCTGGAATCAATAAAGACATATTTAAGAAAAAGAAAAAAAAAAAAAGAAGGGTTAGGACAGGTGACTGTGGTAGACAAGATCTGAAATAGTCGCTGAGCTAACAGGATCACTTAACAGAATTGTTGGCTGGGTTGAGGGCTCACATAAGTTTGTGCGGGTGAGTTTAAAGGAGCCCTGCAGAGTTGAAGGAGTTGTTCCAACAGTGAGGGGCAGGGAGAAGGGCAAAGCTGAGTTTTTCCAGGGTTGGCATAGAATGGCAGTCACTATTTCCTACAGAGTTTGGGGAAAGTTGAGTAACTTCTTTGGACATAGAATTTCTTTCTTTAGAAAACACCCATCTACTTTCTTATCTGAGGGTACATCAGGGAGAATTGATGGAGCTTGTTGGTTAAACAGTGGGATGGAAGTGGAGGGATAAATTTTATATCAGAAATAATGAAAATAGGTATCTATCAGGCAATGAACAGTTTATCTGATGATTCATCAACTTATTTAGTCTTCCTAACAACTATAAGAAGTACTTTTATTGAACCCATTTAATAGCTGAAGAAATCAAGACTCAGAGAATTAATAACTTGCCCAAAATCTCTCAGCAGGGAATGGCAGACAGACTGTTGCATCATAATAGAAAAAGCATAGTTTTTGGTATATCAGAGACATATAATCAAGATCTTATCACTATGGAAGAGCTAGACTTGTCCTTGTGCCCTAAACACTGTGTGACCAATTAGTGTACCTCTGGGGAAAGCAGCCTGATGAAGGTCTTAGGGGTACAGTCATGATCAGGTCATGCCATCAGAACAGGATTTCCAGCCACCCTCTCCTTGGACTTGGGCTTGCCCTTCCAAAGGCCTCACATATCACAAAATCCTGGGAAAGAGCTCATGGGCTCTTCAGCCACTTAGGATTCATGCAGCACTCGGTGCTGACATGGCAGAGCCATTATCCTAGGCATGTGCTTTTGGGAGTAACACTTTTCACCCTTGGGGAAACGCTTTACAGCTCTTTTCCCATATCTTCTAGACAAATGCTGGCCACCACTGAGTGTCGTCATGGTTTGTGGGTTGTCACTGACACTGCTTCTGAGAGNGCTGGCCACCACTGAGTGTCGTCGTGGTTTGTGGGTTGTCACTGACACTGCTTCTGAGAGCAGAGAGGATTTTGAATGTGTAAGCACTTAGGAAACAGAAAGGGCAAATTAACCAATTTGTTAAATCCTTCCTCTCAGATAAGGTTATTGCGTTCGACGCTTACATGCTGAAGTGGTGTTAAGCATCCATGTTCTTGTCCTAGTCTATAGTCTTTGTTGCACATGGTACCTCAGGAACATTTTGCAGTATTAAAAAGTTTTATATTACTCTTATATCTGTTTGTGTATGTAAATATATCTACATATACATAAGTCTAGACAGAACATGAATAAAGCATAATCTAATTTTTTTTAAATCCTCACCTGAGGATATTTTTTCCATTGCTTTTCACAGAGAGAGGAAGAGAGAGAGAGAGAGAGAAACATCGATGTGAGAGAGACACATCGGTTGGTTGCCTCCTGCACATGCCCCAACTGGGGTCAGGGATGGAGCCCGCAACCCAGGTACGTGCCCTTGGCTGGAATCGAGTCCTCAGGCCGATGCTCTAACCACTGAGCAAACCAGCTAGGGCTCATCTAAATTTTTTAAATGATGACTAGATAGATATTAAATGCTGAAATTGCAAATAATTTTGTTTATGTGAAAGTATTTAATATAATTTTATTAATTTTTCCCAAAATAAAGAATTTTAGATTCATTTATAAAATTTACATTAAAATTTGTATTAATCGTTATAATTTTATTTTGTACTTTAGTTTTTATATGTCTGAATATTTTAGAACAGAACATTTTTGGAAACATAAATAAAATTTTAATTTACATTTTTAATGAAAATACAGTCAAACTGAGTTCACTTTTAACTTAATTGCATTTTATTTCTTAATCTTTTAGGTTAGTGAGAATAGTTCATGATGAGATCATACTAGAAATAGAAAATACAAAAGTAGAGCTAAGGAAGGGAAGCTGAGAAGCATAAAGAAATAGAAAATGTTCAAACAGGCAGCTTGCTTACTTTTTTAAGAACTGGAAACAATAAAAGTGGGATTTATATTGAACATGACCCACATAAAATTTGCAAACAGGACATTATAAATTCTTTATTAAATGCAGATTTATTTAATGATCAAAACAATGAAAATAAACTAATGTTACTTTTATTAGATCCACAACTTGAACAAATCAAATGAAATCCCAGAAATTTTATATAAATGGAGATTTAATGAAGTTATTGTAAGCAATGGTGAAAATCACTATACTATGTTACATTTATATGATGAAAATGAAATATTTCATAAGTTTCTCTTTAAATGATGTTTAAATTTTGTAAAATTTTTGTTTCATTCCCACCTATACATATTGTAAACTTTATTAACAATTTCATTTTCTATTCCTCAGCTTAGCAGTTTCTCCAAATTTAAATTAATTAAAAATAGTCTAAGAACTACAGTGACCTGATATGGCATTACTGTTAATAGAATACAAATTATGAGAAAATCCTGATTTTAACAACATAATTATTTTTTCCTGAAGTGAAGGCAAAATAAATAGATTTTATTAAATAATTATATAATAATTCATGAATTATGGAGTGTCTTAACTATTACTCACTCAAACATCACCAACAATCACCAAAGCACTCAAACTTGTGAAATAATAAAATTACATTTTCTTGAAATCTTCTCTTTCAGTTATATTCATCATAGTCATGTTTAACACATTTTTTAAAAATATTTATTGTTTTAAAGATATTTTTGTCAAGCTAGGGGATAAACATATTTAACAGTTTGATAGCTTGATTATAATGGTTACATGTTTAGTAGTTAGCAATGGACTAGAGACTGGTCAACAGTTGTTAAATCAACCAATTAACCTAATCACATGTGGATTTACTAATTGAACTGAGGGATCCTGGAGAACTGCCTGATAACCAATGTTACTACCATGCTAGGATCATCTGGAAGCAACAATGCAAGCAAGGAGATTAACCTAAGAGATTCAGCCAAGGTAAAAACAAACAAACAGAAGGAAGGGTGCGTGCAAGATGATCCCTGTATCACTGGTTCATGTCAGACCTTCCTGAAACATTGAATAGAGTGGACAGGACTAGTTACAGGTTTTGCCTGGAAAAGGTTTGGGAAAATTATTTTTAAATTACATTCAAATCTGGAGTGGCAATGAGTTGCTTATTTATATTTGTTATTATTTTGCCTAAAAAAATGAGTAGTGCTGGGTATGTGGAAGCAGCTGCGATAAAGCATGTTAGATATGACTTAGTGGTATCATCTTCTCATTGACAAATACCCCAGCCTCATCCTATCTGTAATGGAAATAGAGTATTTATTTAGTGCATATAATGGAAAAAAATTACGGCTGTCAGAAATGATAGCCTAGGCTACTTTCATAAAGCATTTTCTTAAAGCTGTAAATCACAGTGTTTAGCACAGCCTCGTAAATTTCCTCTCATCCCTTTTCCATTCTTCTCTCTGTTTACATTTCCCTCCTGTATTTCTTTTTATTGTCCTCCTTATAAGTGTTTATACACACTGTCATTTTGAGTAATGCTTCTCATTAAAAATTTAAAAATTTTTTTTTCATATTTTCAACCTATTAAGCCTCAAAAATTTGGAGCCTTTGTAATACAGTAATTTCTCTTTGTATTTATGACATGTTAAGGGAAAGAATACTTTTAGTTTTGACATTTGGGAAAGTTTTTACCACTCTTAAAACATATGTGATCATCTTTATTAGGATTTTTATTTTAACGTGCAAAAATTTAAGCAAGAAAGTGAAAATAGTAGTGACAGTTGAGAACAACTGGTTTAGGTCTAATAGACTTGAATTTAATCTGAGCTCTTCCTTTCCCAGCTGTGTGACATTGAACAACTGGCTTAACCTTTCCAGCCTGAATTTTCCCCTCTGCCAAGAGGCTTCAGTAATGTTCCTATCTCATAGAGATGTGCGAATTAAACAAAATCATCTGTGTAAGATGCTTAGAATTGTGTGAGGCATATAGACATTATTATTGATTCCACTGTTTCTATAATTACTTATTATTATTAACTGCCTCTGACCTTCTTTTATAAAGCAAAATAATACACACCCACAATAGAAAATGTAGATAGTAGAAAGGCATAAAATACAGAATCTTCTTTTTTAGCCTCTGCCATCCCTCTATATTAATAGTTTATCATGTGTCCTGCCCCAAAATTAGTTTGGGAATCCGCATATGCACATTCTGAAACTACAAGTAGATAGTATTAGACTTTGTACTCTGTCCTGAACTTCGGTTACATAAGAATTTATCTTGACTGTTTCTCTCTATCCACACCTATACATCACCCTCATTCTTTATAATAACCATGTCATGTTCTCTTGTATAAATGCTATAAGTCATATAACTGATTGCCTTTTGCAATTTTTGTCTTTGTAATTATGTCTGTAAGGAAAAGTCCTAGCAGTAGAATTTCTGAATTAAAGTATATATGTATTTTTGACTTTGACATATTTTGAGAAATTACCCTCCCTAAAATTTTACACTAATCTATTTTAGTGGTATTTTGTGCATTTGGATATGGTCCTGAGAACATGTACGTAAATAAGTTGAAATATATTTTTTATTAAATTAACTAAACCTGCCATTTATGTTTTAGTGGAGTCCATGACCCTTCTTGGTAATTTTTGAAAACTGTGAATTTTCATCTTTTTGAGAATGTGCAGCCAAGAAAATGTACATGTTCACATACGCTTAGAGGAAGCCCCTCTTTGGGAGGCTGAACAATGGTCCTCAAAGATGTCCACATTCCTATCCTTGATTTAAAATTTATATTTATTGATTATAGAGAAAGAGAGCAAAAGAGAAAGATTAATTTGTTCCACTTATTTATGCATTCATTGGTTGATCCCCTTATGTGCCCTGACTGGGGACTTTACCCAAAACCTTGGTGTATCAGGACAGGGCTCTAACCAACTGAGCTACCAGGTGAGGGCCTCATCCTTGATTTTAGCCCAGTGAAACTTGACTCAGATACCTGACCTCCAGAACCAAGATAACGAATTTGTGTTGTTTTAAGCCACTAAGCTTATGGTAATTTGTTATAGCACAGGTAGGCAAACTAATACACCATTCAGGTAGCCCCAAATAGGATTCAGCTATGCTCACAAATGCCCTGTATTGGAATGTATGAGAACATAGCTTTAGAAAACAAAAAAATCTTTTAATACACAAAGTAGTAAAAAGTTGACCTGGCCACTCCACTTCCCCTGTCCTCACTGTCATAATCCCCAAGCATTTCCATGAAACCCCCAGTGTTCCAAGAGGCAGACTGGAAACTCCTTTAGAGAATTAAATAAGCTTTCCTTTGTGATTTGAGAATGTGTTTATAAATCAGATATATTTTTTAATTAGTAAGTATTTCTTGGCACCTATTTTAGAGTAGCTGCTGTGCTAGACTCCAGGTCACAGCTGTAAACAAGAAATGTCATCACACAGAGAGAAGGGGTGGGGAGGAAGAACATGACTTTCAGCCCCAGAAGGCTTCTCTGCCTCTTTTGTATGACTTTAGACAACTTCCTTAAATTCTCTGATTCTCCATCTCTTCTCTCTTTTTTATCTTTCCCCATTTTGACTTATCAGATTTAGAGAATTACAAGAATAGAACAAAGTATTCCCCTGTACCCTTCATCCAAGTCCCCAAAATGTTCACAGTTTCTACAGTTTTACCCTTTTCTGGATCTGTATGTGTGTGGGGTTGTACATACACACACACCACACATATTAAATTTCCTCTGAAGTACTTAAGAATAAATTGCAGATACAATGCCCTCTTTCCTCTAAACACTTTAGAGAATGTTTTCAAAAAGCAAGGAATTTTTAAACAAGCCATGGTACAACAATCAAAATCAGGAAATTAACATTGAAACAATACAATTACCTAATATACAGACTGTATTGAGATTTTGTCAACTGTACCGATGGTTTGTTATAGCAAAAGAAAATCCCACATTGTGTCTTTTAAATTTTCTTTAATCCAGAAAAATTTCAGATTCCTTCTTTGAATTTTATGATATGGGCATTTTTGAAGAGTGGAGCGCAATTGTTTTGTAAAATGCCCCTAATGTTGGGTTTGTCTCCTGTATCCTGAAGATTAGACTCAGACTATTCACTCTGGACGCCGCAGAAGTGATAGTGGCCTCTCAATTCGTATTTGCTCCAAAAGGCTCATGCTGTTGGTCAGACCCATTACTAGCAATTTAACTTTGGTCATTTCTGTACTGTAATAATATTTTATCCTTTGCATTAAAGAAAGACCTTTTGGGGATACCTGTTGCTCCTTAAATGAAATGAATCTGTTATTATTATTGTGGTGGCCAGTGGCCTTGGTGTTTGAAGTATCGGGCATACGGTGGGGGGTATGCGGTCCTCACCGAGGAGAAAGACAGGCGGCGACTCGCTCTGTTCTTAAAGATCATCTGGCCCTCTTCTTACTGAACTACCAGGAAGGCTTAGGTAGAATAGAGAAAAACCTAAAGAAAGAACTAAGTAAATAATGCATAACACTTGGAAAAGTTGTAACATTATTTTCCTGTATTAAAAATGTGAAATATTCCCAGAGTTTTACGTCTTTTATGAGGACTTTTTCTGTAGTAGAAAATTGCTTTTGAAGAATTTCATTTCTCCCCATGAACCAAACTATTCCTTCCCTTCTCTGACATTTTACCACAGTCATACCTATGGGTGCTTTTGTTATAGATTTATATTTACCTAGCAATCCAGGTTTCTAAAGTTTATGGAACAACAACTTTAGAAAGTACCTTTGTTTTTCCTTAGGATATTTGCCATAAAATTTTCTATCTCATAGTATATATGTTGTCAGGGCTATATGATAATCTCTATAGCTCTAGAGTGGGATCAGGCAGCTTTTGACCTTACCAATTCAACTACTAAGGTAAATCAGTTGAACAAAACCCATAAATTTAGATAAGAGCCTAATATTTAGACTGCAGATATAACAATAGTCCTCATATATATATTTTGGGATCACTGAAAAGGTTATACATGACATAAAAATATTACCTTTCAAAAAATATAAAAAATATGCATCAGAATTGCAGATAGGATCCTACCAACTTATTCTATGGGAGACACTAGAAAAGTATATTAAATTAAATGGGCTTGACTCTTTGCCTTTGAAAGGTTTATATATAATTTTAGGCAGTAAAAACTAAAGTGAATATTTAGTTGATATGTCTGATATACACTATTTTTAAGCTAAAATATGCAACTTAATTGTATTTTTAAATTTTTGTCAAGTGGTATCATCAAATAGACAATAATAATCACTTTAATGAGTAAAAGAAAAAAACACAGATTATTCTTGTGATCAGGAAAAGAAAATAAACAGAAGAATTAACACAATAGTAATTACCTGAGCAGATGGATTCCTAATCCTAGAAATAAACATGCTAATTAAGCTACATACAATGTGAGGGGATATTCAGGTCTTCTGAGTCTGGAGAGATTGTTATTCTAATTTACTAGTGCAACTTAATTCTCATTATATTAAAAGGTACTTAATCAACCACATCTTTTTTAATTAGCACATTTATTTAGGCGATTTTAATGTTTCTGTACATTTCTTCCATGTGTGAGTTTCTATAGGAACAGACTTTGTCATCATTATATTCATGATTTGTTCAGTATTTGCATTTTCCATACAGCAGGACTGAGTTTTGTTGTGTCTCTAACGAGTCCTGTTTCTCCTGAGTGCCATCAATGGGTGTTAATTGAAGAATGCACGATCATAATGCGGACCCTTTCAGAGCTAGCCTATGTTGCCTTCTTTTAAAGATGAAAATAATCTTTATTAGTAATTGGAACTTACAGTTCTTGGGCTGATATAGAGGAGTTACATATTTTGATACATCTATGACTGAACATTTTTTGGAGGAAATTAACAGGAAGAATGAGAACAACACATGGAAGACAAAAGTCTGTGTGAAAAAGTAAATGTGAGAAAGAAGCAAGGGGGATGGTTTCATTATTTTCATCCTTACACGTCCATGAGAAGCTTCAATGGCCTCATCGGTAACTGACCAACACAAAGTAGTTTTGGAATGTCACCGGGAATACATACAATTAGCATGACATTTCTTAGTGGTTAAATGCATATATTTATGGATGTATATTACTTTCCTGTCCTTTTTCCTATGCTTATATTTTATTCATAACCATGGTATGCATTTCTTTTGTATTGGGAGATATTTAAACTATATTAAAAAGTGGTAAATATTTAAGACACATACAAATTAAACTCATCTCAGTTGTAATCCAATTCAACAAGCATTTATTGAAAACAATGATATAAAAAGCACAGAATTGGCAGTACAGAGCTATGCAACCTGAGAACAAATATGGTACCAAGCACTTGGACCTTGCTACTCAGAGTAGCAACATGGACCAGCAACACGGGCATTTCCCAGGAATGGCTAGAAATACAGCTTTTCAGGCTCCACCCAGCCTTTCTAAACCAAAATGAGCATTGTACCAAGGTTCCCAAGCAATTCAAATGCCCATTAAATTTTGAAAAGCACTATGTTAGACGATCCTAGATTAAGGAGAGATATAATTTCATAAGAAATGCTCTAACATAGAAACAAATACTGTGGGGAAATAATTCGGGTTACAGGGATTTGCTGTAGTTTTGAATCTACTTTCTTCTGTGTTATACCTTCCACATGATACATTAGCATTTTCTAAATTGTGTTCCAAGTCAAATATGTTTGAGAAACCATGCAAAAGTATACTACTGCTTAGAGAGGCCTTGTTTACAATAGTGTGTTAAAGATTTTGAGAAGTCCTGAAATTATAAGTCTGTTTCACTTAAACCCAGGATTCCACAAACATACTTAAAAATGCAACTTTTCTTTTCCTTGCATGGCACTATTAACATCCTACGGAACTAATATGCTATGGAACACACTTTGAGAGACACTGCATGTGTGAGTTTGTAACATTTGGCTCATGAATCCTTTACTAGGATTCTTCTGCTCTAAGTGAAAGTCTCTTTTTTCTTTTCATAGTTATAAAGTATCTTGAATAAATTCAACCTTGAATATAAGTATGAACAAAAAGTACCTTTTAGCTCTGACATAATGTATATAATAATATAAGAAAGTCTGAGACAAATTAATTCAGCTGTTCTGTTAAAAATCATCCAGCTCTGGATAAAGTTGTCTTTGAACAAACAGTATGCTAAAATCTGGCCTCCACATATCATTGAAATTAAGCCGGATCCTGCAAGTAATGAAAGGAAAGTTTTGGTTAACTACCAATAATGAATAATTCATAGCGAGATTATGCATAAGAACAATTGTCATAACTAAGATGATGTTCCTGAAACTGACATAGCATTTGAAATAGAGTAGTTTATAGATTCAGCGAAGAGAGAGCAGGTATATATTCTGGGCTAGTAAATTGTTGAAATTCAACACTTCCTTCAGGGGATAATAGGTGCATGGTTCTGTCAAATTAATAGTAAGGAGCTCCTAAAACTCAGAAATTCAAAAGCAATGAAGTCAAAGCACATGCCAAAGAGTCCACAATTCTCAATTCTTCTTTTAGTTTTCAGATCTGCCTTTTGTTTGTGTTGTTAATATTTAAAAATATTTTATAAGGCATTTTCTCTCTAATAACAAAAGGAAAATATGCTACTAACGNCAATTCTTCTTTTAGTTTTCAGATCTGCCTTTTGTTTGTGTTGTTAATATTTAAAAATATTTTATAAGGCATTTTCTCTCTAATAACAAAAGGAAAATATGCTACTAATGAAAGAAAATATTTTTAAGTATGATTTTCAGATTTTTTTCATTAAATAAATTTATTTGTTGAAATACTTTAACTCCAAATGCAACTGTTGAATTTGCATTGAGTTGTTACTACAATTCATGTTTTAATTGGGATATCGAGGTTTAACAACTGACATTGTTTCAAAACAATAAACTGTTGTTCAGTTTTAAATGGTCAGTTGTATTAGAACTCAACAATGAACTGTGAACTATATTTATCTCTGGGAAACCCCAAATCAATAATGATAAGCCTGTTTCCAAAACCCACTGTAGTCATTCTTGAAACACTGATCAAGATTTAATAGATGCACAAGGACACATTAATTAAAAAAAAAAAAGACCCCAGAGACTTTAACATTTTATTGGCTAAGGAGACAAAGCTCACCCAGTGCTAACACGAGGCTACTGAGAACAAAAAACTAAAAAATGGAAACAAAAAACCAGCAACAAACAAAATAAGCATTTTCATATTCACACACCAACAGACAACATTCCCACTGGAGAAATCTTGAAAACAAATAGCCGACATCCTTAGGCAACATTTTTTATATAGAAAAGCAAATATCAGTAGTTTTGCCACAGAAAAGTGATGGCAACTGTAGCAATTAAGAGTCAAGTTCAGTCCTAATTCTACAAACCAAAGGAGAAAATCATCAAAGCACCTTTCAGTCGCTTAAGAAAGATTTTATGTAATACTTTTGATCAGATGCTGGCTTGTTTTGTGCATGTTGAACAAAATGAAAAGCATCAGTTACCATCGCTATCACAGCTTAAAAGAACCAAAATAAGTTGCAACATAAAAGAAAAAAACTTTAACAAATGCCGCCTTTGTATAAAAGTAAAACAAGACAAAACAAAAATGAAAAACTTTATCATAATCGCTGGAGAGAAAAAAATGAGTCTTTGGATCAAACCATAATATTTTTAAGGCATGTTAGAAAAACTTCCACTTATCTAGTTGCTAGTCTGATCAGGGCATAAGACAAATAAATAGAGACCCAAGGTCACCAGTTTTTCTCTGTAGCTGCTATTATTTCATGTGCCAACAACTTTAATCTTCCTGGTCGCAAGCTTTTTATGAACATCTCAACAAGCACATTCATTCAAGCTGAGTTGTAGTTGCACCAGAGGAAACACCAAGGGTAAGAGCACACGAGGGTTCCCCGTCCCTGGCTCTCTTCGATGCCTTGTCACTATGTATGCGGGAAACTCTGGGGTTAGGCACCCAAGGCAGTTATTAGTAACATCTTTACAGTAAGATCCCACTTTATTGTCTGACACAAACACTTCTAACGAAAACCCCAACTTTTAGATAATCTTTTCCACCTTACGTTTTGCCACAGCTTTCATATTTTTAAACTTATTTTTCTTGTCTGCATAGTAATCCTCTGTGTAAAGCTGGAATCTTTATAGATGTTTCTAATATGTTACCTCAGTTGTCATAAATTGCTATTAAATATGAAATTCTACAAAACAGAATCACTCTGAGAAGTTAGAGGCTTCAAAACTCAACCAATTCACTAAAAATATTTCAATTTCAGTAGATAAATCATACTTCTTGAACCTTTGTTTTCTCTACCCGTTGAGTCAAATCAGCTTTTACACAATAAAATTTGTTTTGATAAAATTGGTTAGAGCTTTTTGTCCTATAAACAAGATTCTTCATAATTGGGGTTTATATAATACCTATACCTAAGAAGGCAAATATTCACGATTCAAAGACTTTTGACAACCATGGCCTGGCTTTACCCACATACCTGTTTTCTCATCTGTGAGAAGTGACTAGCTGCCTTTTCGCCTATCCTCTAAGCTTAATGCCAGTTTACTGAACACTTGAGGGACTACCGGTGATTTCAGTGATGTATAACACCATATTCTGTAGCACAAATTCTCAGAATAAGCAGTTACCTCTGACTTGTGCCAAATTCTTAGGAACAATAAACACCCACAATTCCACCTACCTCAGCTATTTAGTTGTATGAAAATGCCTTCAGCTCTGATTTCATTGGCCCAATGATTCCAGTTTGTTTTAAAATATTAATCCAGCCTTACAGGGCTTTCATAAACCCGTTGTTCCTTGTATGGCAGTGAGAGTAAGACTTCAATGAAAGGCAAAGGTCCCTGAGGTAAGAGTCCTAGGTGAATCAGAGGCCTGACCGGCCCACACAACTTCCTCACACAGAGACACACATCCAACGCCAGGCCAAGAGATAGAACTTTCGAGATGTTTAGCCACTATTCTCTTATACGTAAATTTTTAACTCAAGGAAAAACAAAAAAGGTTACCTCAGACATCACTTGACAACTGTCCTCTGAGTAAACCAACCTTGGTTATTGAAACCAAAATTGCCACCCAACTATTTTAACAAATTCTATCGACAGCCAAGTTGACTCTCTTTGCTATCAAGGTGACATTTGTTATGTGGTTTAGCTGGCTAAGGCTCAGTAAATTTTGTGGTTCTGTTCATAAAATCCAAAAAAGATAAGTCCTTGTTTTTCATAGAGAAACTTATAGCATGTCTTTCAGTATCTTTTTTTCCAATTTATTAAAAATGTGTATCTTTGAAATATTTATACAAAATAAAATATTAGTAGTTTCTAAACATGTTTTCTGTATGCACTTAACAACATTGGAGCAAAGCATACATCTAAGACATGGATGAGCAAGGTAAGTGGAGAATTAAACCGTAGTGAAGAGATTAGTAGACAACAGAAGTAATACTAGTACTATAAACAGAAACTTGACTTTAGGGGAAAGAACGTGGAAACGCACTGCATTTCCATTTTCCATCACTAAAAATGAAGCTAATTAGATAAAAAGTATTGCCAAATTGAATGAAAAGAGGAAATCTAAAAATATTTTGTGGTCAATACCTGGCTTAACATAAAGTAATAGCTTTAGAAAAGTCCACTTTCACTTGGTTAATGTCCTTAAAAGATACATAATTTATAAATTCAGTTGTTCAATTTGTGAGCAGAAAAAAGGAGATGAAATGAAATAGTTTCTCTTCTTGTACTAAAAAGACAGTGTTGCCATTCATATGGAATGGCACATACATATATCCAGTGTCTTACTCCCTGCAGTTTCAGAAGATAAGGCCCATGATCAGTCTTCTAATCCAATTGCCTGACCCACCTAAAAATTTTTATGCCCCACATTATATATAAATATACGTTTATATTATATATATGTATATATGTATATATGTATAATCTATATAGGTATCTATAAATACCTAAAGCAGCCCACCAATGTGATGTCAAGGGAAATTCCAACATTACTGCAATAGAAAAAAAGAAAGGTGTTATTCATTTTCAAAATATGTATTATTTTGTTACCCACAAAGCAATGCTTCTGTTTGATCAAATCATAACCACATAAAACAGAGAAATTTTATTCACAGTCATGAAATCAAGTACCTCTAATTTTTTTACTTAAAGGTCATTTGTCATGTCAGATATTTGAAACTTCTATCCTAGAAATGATGTTATAAATTATCAGGTCTCAGGTCGGCTCACAAAGTTGATTGGTATAATATGCCTCAAAGATGGTCCTAAGACCATCCTGCGTCCTCAAGGGCTGGCTCTCTCCGGAGTTCCGAGCCACTTCACTCTGAACTCAATTCTATTGAGCAGTTCTTGTTAAGCATTTTCTATGTGCCATGCATCAGGTGATTAGCTTAAAACTTTTCTGGGTTCAGAACCAGTTGGTTATCTCAGTCTTGAAGACTGAACAGCCTTATGCCTCCAAGCCCTGTTGTGAATATCCCATGGCTGTCTTCCAGGAAATATTAAGCCCCAAAGTAGAATAGAGATTTTAGATGGCAAGAGTTCAATGGTCCTCCAAGTTACTGAGAGGGTTTGTGTCTCAGGGAATCGATGCTAGGTTATTGATATTCTGGCATTTTCCGACTGCAGTGATGCTGGAATGTAGCAGTTCATTTGGAAATTGTGTGTTCTTAAGTTAAAGGTTGATCATACCATTAATAGATGAGGGCACTGAAAATATGAATGATTTAAGTTGTTAACAAATAGTAATAACTTTGAATTACAACTTGTGGTTGATTACCACCCATATTTTGACTAGTGTGCTTTTTTAAAAAAATAATGGAAAATAAGGGAGGAAAAGCTACAATGGAAGTGTAGATTTTGAAGGAATGGATGAAACTATCAATTACTCAGAAATTATTATACGGTAGACACTGTACCAAACAATCTCTCATTCTCGCTGAAACTTCACTAGGTATCCCCCATTTTGTAGAGGAGGCAACTAATGTAAGTGATATTGTGACTTGCCTAAGACTAAATACCTGGTAAGAAAGTAGGACTGGAATTTGAATCCATTTTCTTCTGACTCCAAAGATCGCAGGTAGAAATAAAAACCCTTTAGCCTAAGAACCCAGGAATCTTGTTAAAATAACTGGTGTTGGGTCGTTTGCAAGCCTCCAAGTACAGGTCTCTTGGGTTCCAATTCCCAGTCTTTTGGCAATTTCTGCCTTAAAGAAGGGTTTTTTAGGAAAATATTGCTAACAGAGGCAAACCCTGTACAAGTTAATGACAAGTTGAGTGCGGAAGGAAAATAGAAAGCACGTACATTCCAGTATAATTTTGAACTGGAAGACGTAGCTGAGCAATGCCTTGCTGAGGAAGTGGTTGAAGACCTTGGTGGGAAGGATGAGTGGGGGGGGCAAAGATCCTTCATCATCAGATTTTGTTATTTAGCCATTAGAGTACAATATGCATACAACAATTTAGGTATAGCATCAGATTTAATACATTTTGTTTATTTTATTTTATTTTGCTTACCAGATGAAGTGATGGCAACATGGAGAATAGTTACTGAAATAGCATAATCCCAAACCCATTCTTCCACAACCGGAACGAAAAGCAATCCACAAACTAAGTAGGTGACCTCTGTTGAGACTAAAAGAACTGCAAATAAATGGAAGAATATAATTATTTGGGATTAAAGTAAATAATTATTCTGAAATACAACTAGTAACAGGACCATTGTAAGTTATTCTGCAAAACAATTTTGTTAGAAATTTTCTTAATGTTCCTTCTGTTAACAATCCTCAAATTTGGAAAATTTTAATATATTCCATCTCTTAATAATCCTTAGATTTATAGAAAAATAACAATACATAATTTCTGTTTCTCATTCTTTATACTTAGCATTTTAGAAGGTGAAATGCAATAAAGAAAAGTTACAATGTAACCAATACATGCTGATCTGTAATTGGATTGCAAGTCTCATTTTAAGATGTATTAAAAACTAATGAAAAACGCAATTCTGAGTTTTCAGAAATTAAAAAACACACACACAAATGTTAAAGTTTAGTGAACTATAACATTTCTTTGGTACCAATCATTTCCTAACTTGGAAATAAATTCTTTTGTGTCTTTGTAATAAAATGGTACGTTCAGATAGTCACCTGGGAAACATAACCGATAACCATGGATGAAAGAAAGCCTCATAAATGACTCATGTGGATGGAGGTGCTCTTCTAAATCCACCAGTTGTCTCAGAGTGGTTTCCCTGAACGTGTATAAAGAGCCAGGACCACATAGAGGTCAGGACCACAAATCTCTAAGAGTCTTGAGCATGTGAAGGGTCAACCTTTTGCCTTTGTCTTCGATATGGAACTTTAAGACTAGAGTGGTTTCAAAAAGAGATCCATCAAACTTTAAAGTGACAAATATATGTGATATACCACCAAGGTCCTTTTGTAATGATATCACTTTCCATAAATATTACCTCTCTTTCCTTTTAAAACACAGCAAATGATTGGTATGTACATGTAATTTAAGAGTTGATAAATCTAGGCAAGTACACTCCATATTGTTAACAAAGCAAAAATTAAAATAACCACATTATGTTTCTACTATGCAGAAGTAATTTATTAACCAGTAAGCAAGCGATTGCCTACTAGAGATGAGCAAGACACTCACTCACCAAGGAAGCAAGTCCCAGGTGCCATTGTTTTTAAAGGCCTCATACATGATCCTCTTCAATGCTATTTCACTGAGTAGGTTTCAAAAGTTGAATGGACAAGTCATACTGACTCCTTTTCTATCACATGGAAATACAGTTCATTTCAGCATGCCCTGCTCCCTAAAATGAAGCCTGTGGAAACAAGTGTACTCACTGACACCACCTCTTCCCATTGCATTTCCACTCCTCCCTCCACCAGTGGCTCACAGACCTTCCACATTATTATAGAGAAACAGCAAAGAGAGTAACCAAAGAACATATGCATAACCCATGGACACAGGCACAGATGAAGGCCTGGGGGTGTATGGGATGGAGGGGGTCAGTGGGGGAAAAGGAGACATCTGCAATACTTCCAACAATAAAGATAATTTTTTTAAAAAGAGAGAAATACTGTTTTTATCAGCATTTACAGATTTTATAGGTTAACTTGCAACTGCTCTGAGATAGTGGTTTTAGTCTTGAGCAAACTGTATTTGCATGTGATAGAAAAGTCTTAAGCTTTGTTTATGATATGAGAAAAAGCATGATTTAAAGGAAGTAGTACACATTTTGAAGTCAAGATACCAGTGTTCTAGTCTTTTGCCTTACAGCTTAAGTTACAAGACTTAGAGCAGGATTTTAACCTCTGGGTTAGTCTGTTTCCTTTTCTAAAAATTGGGAAGTGGAGTACTATTGATCTACCTCAAAAAATTGTTGGGAGGATTTTAATTTAAAATGAAAACAATTTGCAATCTATTCTCTACAATACAAAGAAAGACTCACACTTTTCATGTCCTTCCTAAACATGGTCTCCTGGGTGACAAAATTACTTAAATAGACAAGAAACTTGACCCCAAATACATGCCCAAGGCTCTGAGATTACTGGTACATTTTATCTCCAAGATTAAACAAGTCTAGATTCTCGAAGTAACAACTTTGAAGAGTTTATGGCACTTATCTCCCCAAGCCCAAAATTAAAGATCTAATAGGCTAAAGGTTTATTGATGTCTTTGTCCAAATGTTAGTGTTTTGTGAGAGGAAAGGACTCTGTAAAGGGTACCAGGCATCCTGGGGATCTTCGCTAATCACCACTATGTAAAAACACAGCCTTGTCCAATAAGCTTCTGTCATCCTATCTTTCACTGGCTAACCCAAAGGCAAGAATTAAATAATAACAGTTGAGTTTTAAATCTCTTCTTCTGCTCAAAACACACACACAACCCATATTTAAATCTCTACTGTGACTATTTCCTTATCATTTGTGGATAGTCTTGGTAAAATAAGGTAATTTGATCTCAATAGGGAAGTGCATGAAGAGAAAGTTAAGATAGAATGTTACACCTCTTGCATCTCACTAAAATGAAAGTCTCTTGTCCTAACATATTCTTTGTCTAACCAAAATTGAATCAATAATGGCACCGAACAAGGTTACTCATTTGAGGGAGCTGTTTTCAAGCTTGAATTCAGTAGTTCCAGCTGACCAAGTTTCCTATACAATCATATTGGAAACCTGATTCCTTTGGCTGCAGGCCATTTTTGTATATTTGCATATGTGTTCCAAAAAAGGATGTCTTGTGGTTTCCTCAAAAAATTGTAATGTTCAAAGAATCCACAATTCATTTTTTAAAAGTAGGAAGAAATTTAACAGGGTGCTAAGATGAATGACATTTAGAAAGTAAGTTTGGAATTGCTTTTCTTCTTTTTCTCTTTTCTAATCATATGTATTTTAGTTTATTTTATTGGCTTATAGTATTTATTCTTTTTTAAAGAATATATTTATTTCTCATTATTACCTTTACAGTAATTTTTGCCTTTTTGTGTGTTTTTAAATTAAATTTATTGGGTGGCATTGGTTAATAAGATTATTTAAGTTTCAAGTGTACATTTCTATGATACATGATCTGTATATTACATGTGTGCCTGCCACCCAAGGTCAAATCATCTTCTGAAATTGTATATATATATTTTTATTGTTGTTGTTGTTCAAAATATTAAGATGTCCCTTTTTCTCCCCAATGACCCATTCCACCCTGTCCCACCCCCCCATCAAAATTGTATATATTTTATAAGCTTTCATTAATTTACCTGCATTATGTTATAATGAAAAATAACATTAAAATTTTACTTTTCTAAACGTGGAGCAAAGTCACCATGAATGCCCCCAAGTCAACTACGTGTGACATATATTCAATACAAATAGATGTTATTATTAACTTATATAAGGTTGATAAACATAGTAGGTATTAATAATTATTTTTTAAAAAAATAAGAAATTTAAAATAGAATTTTGTTTCTTAGTATAGTCTTTCTTATCATTTTTCCTGTACAACTAAGGAAATCAAACTAAGCAGAAATGTGTGAAGCAGAAAATGAAAGACCTTTGTCATCCCAGCTTGCAGATAACAGTTTTTTGCATAATTCTCCACATTTCTTAGAACTGACACCATGTATTTTACTCTAGTCTACAAAAATGAATAACTATACTATACAGACTCTGTTGTAGTTTTCATTTTCCATTTCACATCTCACCAACATTTTTCTACATCAGCACATTAAGCCATTCTTCCCTTTTTTTCAAAAACACTTAATACACAAAAAAATTACCTATAATACCAACAAATAAAAATTCAAATAAGAATACTATCCACTTATTCCAACCCATTCTATCTTTTAGGAATAGCCACCTTAAAAATTTTTATAGCCCTTTTTCACGTTAATTTTTGAAGTCAGGTATAAGATACATATGGCTGAGGAAAAAAAAGGCGAGGTATTTAAAAACATTTTATAAAACAGAAACTATTTTGATTTTGGAGGCATTTAGTTCATTCATTGACAAAGATTGAAAATGAAAACCAATTACCTTTATAATTTGAGTCGAGCCATGAAGGATTTGTTTTGAAATCAAACGGTGCCAGGACATCCAACTCCTCCACCCTGAAGGGTTGCAAACGAAAGTGGTTCACGCTGGGGAGGCGCCCGTGGCTGTGCACATCAGGGTCGACACATCACTCCCCACGCGTAACAGCAAGTCACCGGCTTCACGCACTTTGCGGCGTGTTTGAACACTGCCCGACGCAGTGAAGTCCACATTGCCCACCACGTGTGCTTCATTGTGTCCGAGGTCGAGGCTGCGATCTGGGAAGTTCCTTCCACCAAATGTGGGAGGAGAACCCAGCACTGCAGCGAGAGCATAGGGCTTGGACACAACGAGAACCTGGGCAAGTCGCGGAACCCTCTGGGCTTTAGCTTCTTACCCGTGAATTGAAACAATCTCCAAGATCCCTTTCTGTTCTAAAATCTGAGTCCATTAAGTACACCTATTCTGCTGTACCTAAGTTTGTGCTTGTGTGCAGCCGTCATTTTCAGAGATGGCACATTTGCTCATTTTTGCTTTAAATAAAAGTAATAAAATACAGCACTTTTTAAAAATCTGCATCCTCTATTTCATAAAGACATGTCATATATTAAAGATAAACCCCTTTCAGGGCCACCTTAGCTTTTTAATTCTTGGTGAAGGCAACGTGCTACTTACTTGAGCATGATGCAGCCGGTGATCAGAACCACATAGTACACGGTGTAGAAGAGGGTGACACATGCAAGGAGATTCTGCAGAACAACCTGCAGAGAAGACAGGCGTGAGCTCCAGGGGCCTGGGCCTCTTCACGTGGTTGTTGGTAACAAGCCTGACCAAGAAACCACGATGAACCAGCTAGATAGCGGGGGCTAGCCCTGCTTTCCTTGGAGACCACGGGTGGGATGGGCTTCACAGTGCAGAAGGAAAGTGTTGCTGCCTGGAGAGGCTGACATATTACACCTTTGCACCAAGGCTTAATGCAGTGTACAGATTCATACCACTTACCCTCCATCTACCACGACAGACTTCCTAGATGCCAATATTTATATTTTAATTTGATAAAATGGTTCTAAATCTCAGCTGTCAAAATAGTAAAAATATGATGATGGCGTAGAAATTTTGAAAAGTATGAACCAAAAAATACATAGTAACACAACAATAATTAAACCCGCGTTTAGGAATACATAGAACAATTGGCTAAAACACAATAGATGAGTCCATAATGGACCCTAACACATATGAGACTTAAGAAAAAAGCATTACAGGTAAATGGGAGCCAGCTGAGCTATTCAACAAATAGCACTGTGAAAACTTTTTAACTTTTAGGTAGAAAAATCCCTTTAGACTCCAGTCTTGTACCAGACACCAACATAAACTTCAAATGTATTAAAGGCTTAAATGCCAAAAAATAGAATGGGAGAAAGTATTTGCAACATGTATCACAGGCAGAGGATTGATATTTACAATACATAATACATAAATGCATACAAATAAAAAAGACAAACCAATAGAAAAACGGACAAAGTATATAAACAGGCAGTTTATATGACTAAACATTTAAAAAGCTAATAAACAATTGAAAATGTGCTGAACTTTACTATTTGTCTTTTTTTTCACTTTATTGTTTACACCATTACAGATCTCATTTTTGCCCTCTTTGCCCAACTCCACCCCCACCCCCTCGCCCGCTTCCCTTTGGCCATCACCACAGTTGTCTGTGTCTGTGGGTTATTCATCTTTGTTCTTTGGCTAATTCCTTCACCTTCTTTTCTCCAGTGCCCCCTCCCTTCTCCACTCTGACAGCTGTCAGCTATTTTCTTCTCTTTTTTAAAATGTATCTTTATTGTTGAAAGTATCACAGATACCCCCTTTTTCCTCCCACCTCACTCCCGCCCCAGGCCTACTGCACTGCTGTCTGAGTCCATGGGTTATGCATATATTCATATAAGTTCTCTGGTTAATCTCTTCCCGCCCCCACCGCCATTCCCTGACCACAAACTGTTATCACACACAGGAAATTTTACATGGCTACAAAATATTATTTACATAGAGTCCACATTCAAATTTCTCCCATTTTCCTCAAAATCTGAGAATACAAGAATCAATTAAATTTTCACATGTTACATTTGGTTGTCATATCTCTTTAGTGTCATACTTTGAATTTGTCTAATAGTTTTCTCATGATTAGATTCTTTAGGGAGGAAGTCTACAAAGGTAATATTGTGTATTTTCCATTGTACCTCACGAAAAGGCACATGATAGCATTTTGTCTCATTATTGGTGATGGTCATTTTGATCACTTGGTAAAGGTGACATGTGTCAGGTCTCTCTGTTTCAATTGAACTGCTTATCCTTTGTAAGTCATAGGTAATCTGTGAGGTGGCACTTGAGACTATGTGGACATCCGGTTTCCCCACAACTTTTTACCCCTTGGTTTTGGTATGCATTTATATATGTACCTTGGTGTGTACATTGGTGTGAAAATGGTAATTTTTTTATTTTATATTCTTCTTTTATATATTAGTACACATTCTTCCATAAAGAGATTTTCCATCTTCCCCTTGAACTTATGTGTTTATTTGTCTATTTTCAGTAACCTATGGATTTTTATATTCTCTATATACTATAATGCATTAATATTATAATTGCTGATGCTAAAATTGCCCCAAATTTGACTAGTCTGAGCAACTACAAGATACCTTCTGTGTCTGTTTTACATATTTCCATCATCTTGTTTGTACTTCCTTGCACTCTGTCACAACCTGACATTATAAAAATGTCATCACTGTATTTTCATTTGCATTTTTGTCTATTTGTGAGCTTTCTGTTCCCTTCTATTGGTCTCTCTGCCTTTATATATACTCATGAATCAATATTACACTGTTTTAATTATGGAAGCTTTGTAGTATCTTTAAAATACTCACTTCTCATTGTTCTTTTTTTAGCATTCTCTTAGATATTTTTATGTTTACTTTGCCTTATAAACCTCAAAATCTACCTGAATAGCTTCATAAAACAAATTTATGTTATTTTTATTGGGATCATGCTAAATTCATTATTAAAATTAAAATAGATATAGCTTTCTAATGTTTACTCATGCTATCCAAAAACAATAAAAATTACTAAATTTATTCAAATGAACTTTTGTATCTTTCAAAAATATTTTGATTTTTCCTAACATAGGTATTACATAATTTCTGTTAAATTTATTCTTAAATTCTTTTTTGCTATTAATGTAACCAAAGTTTTATCTTCTGTAACATCATCTAATTAGCTATTATTTGTGTATATAAAACCTTCTGATTTTTGTTTTAATTTAATATTCTATTACTTTTCTGTATTTTTTATGATAGTGTTTTCATTGATTCTCTTCATTTTCCAAATACACGACAATATCTTCTGTAAATAGAAAGTTCCACTTCTGTTCCACTTCTTCTATTCCAGTTCTTATAGATTTATTATTTAGTCTAGTCTGATTGCATGACTAGTGCCTCTAACACATTTTTAAATAGCAGAGTTAGTGTCTTTGTCTTATTCTTGGGCGTACTGTGAACGCCTCTAGTATTCTTGTTAAGCAACACACTGGCTTTAGAATTTCACTATGTATGTGTGTTTGTGTGTGTGTGGTTATAGATATATGTTAACACTAAAGAAGAAGTAATCAGTCTCTATTCAATGTTTTAATTAAGAGTGGTTGTCAAGTATTGACAAAGGACATTTGAGCTTCTATAAAGATAATTGTATAATTTCCTATTTAGATTTACATACATAGTAACTATGTTAGTAGAGTACTTAATATTGAACCATCTGCATATTTTGGGGATAAATGTCACTTGGTCATGATGTTTTATTTTTATGTTGCTCTCTTGGATTCTGTTTGCTAATATTATCTTTAGATTTTTACTTCCATGTTTATAAAAGAGAGTGACCTGTACTTTATATTTTATGCTATTTTTATGAAGTTTAGATGACAATGTAATTCTTGTTTCAAAGAAATATCTTGTGAATTTTCTTCTTTTTCTATACTCAGAAATAATTTAAGTAGCCTTGGGAGTATATGACCTTTGCAGATTTAGGAGAATTCCCCTGTGAAACCTGGGCCTGGTTCTTTTATAATAACCTCTTCCATTAAGTCTCTGAAACCTGGAAGCCCTTATGTGATTTTACAAAGCACAATGCTCCCATTAACTAGAGCAGCTTTACTCTCCTCTACAGAGGGATGCTGTATGTTCTTCAAAGTCTAGCTCAATATCACAATCACACTGCAGCTTCCTTCTCCAGGACAGAGTCCATCCCTCCGACTTCTTTGCATCTATGGTGTTGTGCGTGTCTTACCGATGTGATCACCTGCGTTGTAGTGTACTTATTTATGGAAGTGCCCACTTCTCTAGACAGAGATAGTGATTTAATCAAGTTTAATTCTTCAGCCACCAAAATAATGCTTAGTTCTTGGCAAGTGTTCAATAAATATATTTTTAATAATAATGAATGAAGAAAAGGAAAATAGTGAAAACCATAGTCAATTCATTAAAGACGTGGACCCTAGGGTCGGATTACACTAGGATTTCTTTTCCAGTTCCGCACTGGCAAGATGTGACATTGGGCATTTACACTCTGCATTTTGTTCTACTCATCTGTAAAATCGCACGGGAGCTCTGTTTTCAACACACATGTAAAATTCCCAGCATAAGTGCTATAGATGCTCAGCAGAAAACTTGCCCTCTACTCCTCCCCATGTGCAAGACTGCTGCCTGGTTCTCTGGACAATTCCTAGCGTAATCGTGAAGCAGGGCTCTCTCACCTGTAGTGTCATAGCACAGGACCCAGCCTACTAATAGTAGTTTTCTCTGAAAGTGTCTGTATGGATGAAAATCTCCAGTTCGGGTCAACAATCACTAGGAAATGCAGGAATGTGTTGTGCCTCTGACAGTTTTACATACAACATTTGTTTTACAATTGTAGTTTTATATTAGTTTAATGTAGTTATAAAACGTGTATTCTACTGGAATTCTGAACAACAATGCATTGTATTCGGAACAACAACGTAGCAGTCCTCATACCTGGGCTTTCTTCCCAGTTCCTGTGCAATTTCCCCAGACAGCAAATTAATTAAATGGCCTTTGGCCATGACTCTTTCCCTTGAGTCAGCTTTTCTCTCATTTAAAATGTAAGGATGGGGGGATTTAATTAGCCCAATGCCTGGCACATTGCGTGCACTCAATAAATATTTGTTGAGTTTTGGAACTCTCTTTACAAAAAGGTCACTTTTGCTATTACTATTAATTTATGAGCATATCAGTGATTCCTGTGCTGATAATATTGACACTGAACAGGACTTAAGTAAAGTTAACTCATAACTTACAGGGATGTATCATGAGAATTTAGATTTTTAACAACTCACTTATTTTTAACATATTCACTGTTGGTCTAATATTCTAAGGCTGTGATTTCACACATAAAACTCTGGGATTCTAAAATGTGAAAAACTGCAGCAATTACCTGGACATTTTCACCAGAAAGAGAACTTGTGTGTGTGTGTGTGCATGTGTGTAAGTCCAGACTAAATATAGTCCCCCAGTCCTCATTCTTTAAGTAAGCTACTTAAGGGAGAGGATATTATCTTTTAATTATTATCTCTCCAGCAAAGCTATCATTGCTAGTTCAATCCCAAAACTATACAAAAATTATAAACAGTTTAAAATCAACCTAAAAATTATTTTTAAAAAAATATTTACCCTGAAATAATGTTTGTACTGATTTAGAACATTTTTCTTAGCTGTTGCCATACTTAATGTTTCTTACTGATCATGTAGTGATGATGGCACTGAACAGAAAAAACTTGAGCACATACAGCGCTGATATTTTACTAAAATGAATGTAGCACCAATTTGAAATCATAATTTAAATTTTAAGTAAAAATCTGACTTTGCAGAGTGTCATTCCCTGAAGGCCAGATCTTTATAAGCCCAAAGCCTGTGTGAATTTACGCAGCTGCTTAGAGGCTTTGCATATTTCCTTGTTTTAGGTGCTTTGATTTTTTTTTTTAGAAAGAGTATTTTTATACTGAAATAAAATGCAACTATTAACACTAGCCTCAGGGGAAAAAGAAACTAACACACCTACAGCTTAAAATGTTTCAGTACTTTGCCTCTAAAATCTTATGCATCCTTTAGAAGTTGGGAAAATAAAAGCCACCTCCTGCCAAAAAAAAAAAAAAAAAAAAATTGAGGACAAACTGTCATGATTTCAGAAAACAAGAGCAGAAGTGCAGGTGTTAATACTAGAAAGTTTGCCTGTGCCTTAACATGGTACCTTCAAAACAGCCACTGTTGAGCTGCGTTAGAATCCTGTCTTGGGCCTGGGCCTCTATATTGCCACCATTACCATATGAGCAAGAGTGTCGCAAAATGTTTTCTGCATGGTACCCAGCCAAAAGTGAAACAAGTTGCTACGGAAAGAAAGGCCATTTATAGAACATATTTGCTTACGCCAGTGCCAGACAGTAACAGCAAGAGAATGTAAAGAAGTTGTTTTTCTTTACCTTGCTTGGAGCGACTCTGACCTGGAGAGCCATGTACACAGCCTATGTCAGCGAGGTGGTGAAAGCCACGCTCCTTATATGGATGACATCTGGAAGAAGAGACAATTGTCACCGTGAGCTTTTCAATTACTCTGGAAGACTAAGTGTGCGATTCAATAGTGCAGCATGATTGGATTATACAAAACGAGACAGGAGCCATCTGTGAGCCATGAGTAAGCTGCTGAGTGCCAAAATGAACATCCTTATTAGACAACTGAGTTCTCATACCATTTGTAGTTCGGTCGAATTTGAAAGACGAGTGGATTGTTTTTAGACAGTGCAGCAAATAGGCAGGGACTCGCAGTTCTCCCTGGCTGTATGAGTAATTACTGTCTCATGCGTAAATCAGAAACATGGGTTTTCAGTCAGGAGGGTTGAGACTGTCTTCAAAGGGCTGAGGCGGTGCCGCCATTCACCATGAAGCATGGCCTGTCCTCTGGGTTTCCTTCCCAAGGACCGCAGACTTCTGGAAAAAGAAATCATTAAACCCTTTTACATCACCGCAAAGCAATATAAAAATTCTGACATTCTGTTGGAAAACAGTAGGATTCCCATGCTCGAAAATGATAGCCTTTATACAGTCAGTGCAATATTTTTAAGAACTGCCAGCTTGCAGGACCGGAGCTCTACATCTCTGTGCCCCAAGGCTTCCATCCAGAACCAATCTTTCATTTACCACATTTCATCTCTTCATCTTTTGATTGGCACCCTCTCGTAGATGGGAATTTACCTGTGTTTTGTGGTCCTTTTCCCACTACAGCATCTTAACTTTCACACAAACACGTTCTACAAATCATACCCCGTACATAAAATCATGGTCTGGCAAAAGTGGAAAAAAAAAATGTTTTCAACAAGCCCAGGGCTTAATATTTTTCTTCTGGATATATTTTTAAATTTGAGTCTCATAATGCATACTAATAACACTGTCAATTCTCTTTTATTGATGTGCTTTAGACAAGTCTTTAATTTGTGGCTGCCCTGTGTCTCTGCTTACATGGTGAGCTCTCGCAGAGAAAGACTCTTTCTTCTGCCTGCTAAAACATTTGTAACAGCTCCCAGTGTCTGCTTCAGGTTTTGGCACAGGTGGACCTTCAGTAAATGTAGATAGACTGTTCAAATCCTGTGTCTTGCCCTGTTTGGAACAGCAGTTGGCCAGTTTTTCTTCCTAAAGGGGGCAAGGAGAGCTCCCTGGAAGTGAGGCGCAGTCCAGTGCTCAGAACAGAACCTATGCTTCACTTGCTCCACTCTCAGCATATTCAGTGTTTTGTGTACAACTCAAGTCCCATTGGAATCATTCAGTTCAACAGTAACCACCAAAGATTTATTCTCTTAAGAAGTTGGCACAACACACTGGGAACCAACATTAATATCACTGCAACTACTCTGCCGGATAAAATATTGAAAAGTGCTAATTTTCTGTATTGTTCATTTATATTGTTCTTTAGATTCCACATATAAGTGAGATCATGTGGTGTTTGTCTTTGTCCAACTGACAAAGTATTTCACTCAGCATAATACCCCCTAGGTCCATCCATGCTGCAGCAAATTGTAAGGAAAAAAGGGAAAGAAAAAGACTAGTTCTCTATAATCACACTAGAAAAATTAGATGGCCAATAGAGTATATTGGGAGGAGACTGTGTGTGTGAGTGTGGTTACAATTACAATAAACACCTTTTATTTGAATGACTATTATGATCTATTTTGAAAATAAGGCATGATATAGACAAACACCATGCACATTCAGTAGCTCTAATTCTGTTTTCCAAGTTTGCCATTAGACTGATAAAATATATACATGTGTACATAGTATGTATGTATATATACACACATACATATCTATATACCTGTAAATACATATATTTCTTTTTATTCAGCACACTTATATGGAAGCTAAGGAATAAAAACTTCACATTCTTGGATTCTGAATTGTGCCCCTTGACATTTTATTATGTTTTACTGTATTTTCAGTCCCTTTGTATAATTTGTATCCAGTGGTCTTTCTGTGAAAACCTAACTTAGCTACTTGGCAGAGACATTCAGAAACTTCAAGGTGTTAAAGAGATATTTTCAAGACAATAGTATATAAGCTAGAACTTCTCCCTGATAAAATCGGAGGAGAAAATGAGTTCAGGTCCACAATCACTAAACCTAAATCTTTGGGACAGGATATATTTCTAAACTTAGAAAACTTTGAATTTTAGACAGGTAATAAGATTCATATAATATATTATGTCACACATCCAAGGGATCTGGAAATTTATCCTGTATTCAAACACATTGTTTGAGCAGCAAAATATATGAATTTTCACTTTAAGCGGGATAAATAAAAACTGTAAATAATTTTATATCAATTCAGGTAAGGTTCTGCCACCAAACTAGTTCAGATCAAGTAACATTCTACAATCAGAATAGTGATAAAAATAGTTTTAGAGCTTTTTAAGTTTGGGCTTCATAGATGACAATTATGGACTAGTACACATTTAATCATAAGAATCTGAAAGTTGGTGTTGACAGAACTCCAAATACAATTTTAAATAGTATGATGATGATGGTGAAGATGTTGTTTTAACAAAATCAATTATTCATAAGGAGTTAAAGAAGTAAAACCCCTTTGCCCTCAGTGTCAGGATTAAATAAACCTGGTTCCCACTAATGCTATCTCTTCTCTCATAGTTGGCTTTGCCTTGGATGCCTGTTCTGTATATTTTTAGTTTTACTGATTCTCTCTAACCCATTTCTCCCTTTCATGGTCTTCTACCTCACTTTTTGTCCTCTGCCTTTTTGAAATTAAAATATAGTACTCTATAGGTTTCACTAAATCATAAAAAAAAATTAAGAACAAACAGGTTCTATTCGATTTCAGGAAGCTGTGGAAATACTGATCAAAGAGGAGGTAATTTTTTTCTGTCTATGGCCTTAACGGAGTTTCCTTTAGGTTTGGGCCCACATTAAAGAGAAGATATATGTATACATCTATAATTAAACACTTATTTTGTGGTTTCAGATTTATTGAGTAATAAATTGTGTCTTGAAAGATAAAGTCACACTAAGGGATAATACCTCTAAACGGTAATGGCACAGAATAAAAAAACAATGGGTATGGGCTAGTTTTTATGAATATCCAAACCCTTATTAAACAGTAATTTTTATAGTTGCTCCCATTAATTTAAATCAGGGTTACTAATAACTGCAAATATGGACATGAGTTTCAGTCTCTCACTTTACCTACTTTAGAGTCAGTTGTGTGCCTTGAAATGGGCCATACAGAGTGTAAGAACATTATGAGGTTATAAAAAAAGACCTGGAGGGTACATGCATTTTATCAACTCGAAAGAATGCCTGGGAAAGCATACACGTTAGGGCAAATTCAGTGTGGTGGTCACAAAGTAAAAACAGACAGTGAATGATAAATTTAGAGTCCTGATTGGAAAAATGGGAATTGGATTTGCAATCGGGAGAATATAGAGTGGAGGGAAAGGGAAGGGGAGGCCACTCTAAATAAGAGACATAAAGCACAAAGGAAGTGAGAACAAGCCAATGAGATCTGCTTTGCTAGAAAATGAGAAATAAAACTAAGGCAGTGGAGGAATGCTGATCGGCGGAGGCCTCAAAGGATAAACAAGAGAACTGTATATTGGTTCAAAATAAAATATCACTATTCTTGAGTAGTATATGACAGATGAAATCAGCATATAAGCAAGGCCTTGGGATTTGATGTTTGTGTGCCTAGAATAAATGAGAAGAATACAATTTTTAAAAACATTGCTTTAGAGCCCCAGATACGCCAAGGTTGCAGGTTCGATCCCCCATCAGGGCAGGTACAAGACTCAACCAATGAATGTCTAAATAAGCGGAACAACAAATCCATGTTTCTCTCTCTCTCTTCCTCTCTCAAATCAATAAGTTTAAATTTATAAAAAGGGTTCTAGTTGAGGTCAGCAGCACAAATTTAAAAAATAAATAAAAAACACCACAGTTATAAAATGAGTAGCCTTTACGATGGGGGCTGAATAAAAAAAGAAAAGAAAAAAAATGAAGAAAAGTAAAATTGACTTCAAGATTTTCCCAACAACAGAGCGAAGCAGTTGTGATGCCAGTGATAAGAATGGTGAGGTTAAGAAAATAGGAAATAATTTTAGAGTGCCTCTTCAATGAGATGAGAAATAGCAAGTGTTGGAGGAGGTGTGGGGGAAAAGAGCCCTCGTTCACTGCTGGCGGGAACGTAAGCCGGCCCAGTCTCTACAGAAAACAGCGAGGAGGGTCCTCAAAACATTAAGAATCGAGCTACCTTATGACCCAGCAATCTCTCTTCTGGGTTTCTACCTGGAAGATTTGAAAACATTTTCTCATAAAGATATATGTACCCCTATGTTCATTGCAGCTTTATTTATCATGGCTAAGACATGGAAACAACCTAAGTGTCCTTTGGTGGATGACTGGATAAAGAAAATGGGGTGTGTGTGTGTGTGTGTGTGTGTATGTGTGTGTGTAAATAAAATGGAATACCACTTGGCCATAAGAATGGATGAAATCCTGCCATTTGGGACAACATGATGGATCTTGAGAGTATTATGCTAAGCAAGATAAGCCAGACTGAAAATGACAAGAACCATATGGGATATAAAACAGAAAGCAAAAAAGGAACAAACATTGACACAGATAACACAGAAGGGGGCTGGGGGAGGGAATGTAAAGGTAAAGGGGGTCAAATATATGGTGACGGAAGGAGATTAGACTACAGCTGGTGAGCACACAATGCATTATGCAGATGATGTATTATAGAATTATACACTTGAAACTACAGAATGTTATTAACCAGTGCCACCTCACCCGATAAATTTAATTTTCAAAAGACTCAAAAAAATAAAATAGGCAAAGAGAAGCCAACTGTTGGGTTCAACACATTAAGTTTTCGAGCCAGTTAAAACTTCATCCAGCATCAGAAGGGCCTGTTGACACAGATTTCAGGGATCCACTCACAAAGTTTCTGTTTC